TATGTGAGCAAAGAAATGGACAAAATTATGGTTTACATCCACGAATAAAACCATTCTTATTAGCATCTGCACGAAAAAGAATATCAGAAATTGTGAAGCCACTAGGAGATCAAGTAAAACGTATACATACAGATGGCTTTATTATAGCTGGAAAAGTAGAACTTAAAACGGGAATAGAAATGGGTGAGCTAAAATTTGAGAAAAATGGAGTTTGTGTAGTAAAAAATTGTATATCAATTACATGGAAACCGTCATATCCAGAAATTCCAAATTTGATTATTTTCAAAGAAAATGAGCTTCGCTCTACAAATAGTTTACCAGATTTTGAGAAAATACAACAAGATAAAAAGCAGAATACAATATTAGATACAGAGTATCCTGCTTCACAGACAGTAAAAAGGAAACTATCAAAAAAGTCTGATATAAATCTTCCGAATGAAATTATAATAGAAATATTTCAACATTTACGAACACAAAATAAAAGATTATGTGGTAATAATGAATTATTGTTTCCAGTTTTATATGTTAACAAACGATGGAATGAATGCGCAACATATTTAATATGGAGAAGGATTAAATTATATAGATATAATATTAGAAATTTTGTCAAAATAATAAAAAAGAAACCATTACCGAATGCAATAAAATATATAAAACAGATAGAATTTGAAAGAATAGATAATTATTTTAATATGAATGAATTTCTATTAGAAGACATTGCAAGTATATGCCAATATATAATAACTATATCATTTAAGGATTGTGGTTGGGGATTTCTTAACAATAGTTCACTAAAGATAACATCGGATACGTGCAAGAATCTAAACCATATATTTATCTATGGAAGTATTCGAATAGCGCCAAAAACTGTCTTAAGTATACCAGAAAAATGTACAAGTATAAAAACTATAAAAATACAAAATTGTGAATGAATAACATATAAAATAGTAAATCAATTATTGAGCAAATATCCGAAAATTGGAATTAATAAAATAGAAGTTGACTCACGAAATGAGGATGATATTGCATCTCAAATTATAGAAGATATATTTGACGAAGACTAGTTTATGGTAATAGATGAGTAAGTTAAAAAACTCATTAGAAGATAACTGCTTTTTTTCTCACATGTTCGAAAATAATCTAGCTTTGAGTAATGAAATTATGAGAAGGTGGGATAATAAAACTCGTATTGAATAAATTTATATTATATAAAACAAAATATAGAGTAAGTATAAACCAAGTATGACAGACAATAGTTCAAGTTTAATAAATGAGCAGGGCTCAGAGTTAATGATGCAGGAAGCTATTACATGGAAAATGATTGAATCAACACAAATTAAAATAATAAAAGAAGCCTTTCGTCTTCGATATAGAAAAGATAGTAAGCTTATTAGTAAATATGCTGGATATGTAAAAAATTTGCGTAATGCTGAAAACCAAGATGATTATATAAAATATACAGCTATAACACTATTTCCAAATGAAGAAGCATATAATAAAAGAATGTCGAGATATAGAAAATGGTATCAAGGTAAAAAGGAGCTACTTACCAGTGTAGAAGAATTATATAATCTTTATTATAAGCTATCCAAAAAAGATAGGCCTATGACTGAAACAGAAATTGATGAAGCTGTTGAAGACATACTTATAGACGAGTAGAGTGGAGCTCATTGTTTAAGAATCCATTTCGGAGGATATTCTATATTATTATTTACTAATAATAATTGTTCTCTAACAAATGATCTCTCGGGACCATCCCCATTTTCATCCATAAGCCAGTATAATACCGGTTGATTTTTTTGTATTAGTGA